GCAATTGATATTTTATTTTCCGAGAAATAATTGTTCGGGTATTTTATCCAATAATTACAGGAATTCATGTAGGTCAATACAAGAAGAATCGAAACGTCTGTCGCATGGCGTAATTTTCAAGAAAGTAGCAAAAATACCGGCAATTTTTTCGCTCATCACCTCATAATCAGCACCAGTACACATAAAAACCGAATGAATCTCATCTGCCTTTCCAGCCAACCAGATAAATGTACAGCTTTTAATAACTACTGTGATACAGATGGACGAATTGACCTTGACGCTTTACCGCATTTGATTTTGTAACATTCCTTCCTAAAAAGAGGAAAACAGTGGGAGTGATCACGTTAAGTGTGTTTCTTAGCGCAATAAAATACTTTTATCAAGATAAGGGGTTGGTTTACCTGACGCCTGTATAAAACTGACAATATTGTTTTTCCAGGTTGAAGAGAGTACAGGCAACAAAAGATCAACCTGGAGCTTTGCGTGACTCGGTAAAGACCCTACTTCCGTATTCTCTCTACCAACGCCTCTGCAAAGACACCTTACTTCGCCAAGACGGATAATTTATTCCCTCTGAACATTTTAGCTGTTACGGTAACAGCGTTGGTTGCATCATAGACAAGTCAAAGATCAATCAAGAAGGCAACGGGCCGAAGGGATCCTGGCCACCTTTTTGCAAGCCTCTAAGCCCCGTCTTGAATAGCTCTCAGCGACTACCATAGTTCGACTTGTCCGAGAAGCGAACGCAAAGACAACTTCAGAAACAATCACACAAGTAGCAGCTCAGCAACAACAACACACTTTCACCCAACAGTATTGCATCTACCGTTGTAAATTTACCCTACGTTTTTGTCAGATAATGAATGGCGACAAACAAGTCGGACAAGCTAAAATTAAATCATTACAGTAAGAAGTGTAATTAGTCTGGACCAGACTAACTGGAAACCGGGTTTTCAAGACGAACGAACACAGCTAATCTGGGCCAGACTAGTTGTGTATCCAGACTAATTAGGAGCCCAGGCTAATTACACTTCTTACTACACATAGTCCCAAATAATTGCTTATTGCAGATTTCCGTACGTGTAATCTCGTACTTAAGTACAGACAACGACACATTTATTCGACAGACACAAAAATCCGACTGGCAAAGCCGTGCAAGTTACAATCTCAAATGAGCAGCCAATCAGAACCTACCATCAGACTTTTTCGTGCTTTTCTGTTATTACGTGTGCATTGTGACCATTTGCGCGTGGTTTATGACGGAACTTTGTGATATGGACGGGTAATTCTTGTACTTTTACAAAGTAGGATGGTATTCACAGGTGTCGAATAAATGTGGCGTTGTCTGCACCATGATATTCCGTAGTTTTTCAGTGGGGAAATGATGCTCAGCGGTGTAACAGCGCTGGTGTTTGGTATTGCCAAAGTGGCAACTTGCAACTTTGGCAACTGGCAACCCTCCCACAGATTCTGATGCTTGGATTGGATGGCAGCCAAATTGGCAACCCTCCAACAGAATCTGATTCTTGGATTTGCCTCAATTGAACCTATAGACAATCCCCTCGGTAGTAATCCCTAGAAGTAGAATACTCCCTCAACAGCAATAAATTAGATCCCGTTGACCAGTCACATACAAACCCAAGATATTATTCCCTCTCACCCCTCAATCGTAAAATGGAAAACATTTGAAGTCAAATACTCCTATTCTGGGGTGCTTAACTATGGAAAAAGCCATAACTGCACAAGAGCATTGTTGCTGCCACGATCCGAATGTTGACCTGATGAAGATCTTTTAACTACTTTGAACGTGATTCGAGCTTTAAGATCACGGAGAAGTGCTCAACCTTCACTCTAGTTGCACACCTGTGACGGCAACACCATCTTCACTCCACGAAACCCAACTGGCAAGTACCTGGTCGGGTGTAGACTGGCGCAGGCCTCGTGCCGCGATTTGGTGGCCAACCGCAAGACCGGAAGTGAGTCCAGTGCTTTTCAGCATATCAATATCCATATCGTTGCTTGTAACGATTCAGAGGAAGACCGTAGATTCTGTGACCCCTTGCATCTAGCTGTGTTTGGGACAAACTAGGGATGTGAGCATGGTACCAGCATATTTGTACAGCAGTCAATGAGTACTGGTGAGTGTGAGGTAGACTGGTTGGGCTAGAGAGGAGGGTATCTTTGTGTGGTGAGGAGAGCAAAACACGGTGAATCGCCAGTAACGAGCTACATTAATCGTATATTTTGTGTACTGTTCCAAACTGAAGGTACTCGGATCCATTTTTATGGTGCATTCGTGGATAGGAATACCTTTAGACAGGAATAAATTGGTAGCTCCAAACGCTTTGACTACCGAGGGGATCGTCTGTATTTGCCCTTGCAGCAAGTTACAGCTGGTTGCTGAGAGCAAGAGAGCGAATGGTAGCTCGACGAGAGGGTTCTTTTTCTTCTTTGCCGACCAAAAACAAGTGAAGATTACTAGGGGTACAAGTTAGCACGCACTATGCAACGCAATGATTAAAATGCTCGATTTGTTTGGATCTTGCTGTTCGAGCAGAGTACAAGTACGGTACGTGATGTACCCTATCGACGGTACTGTATTTCAAATGCTGCTCTGGATAAGGCGTCAATGCCTCAATGCCTCAAATTCGTTTTTGAGGCATCCGTTTCTGCAATTCTTGAGGCACCATTTGGTTTAAATACAATTGTCTATATGTAAGGCAGAAAGAGTACCTCACACAGTACCTCATTGCTCTAACTTCTCCATCATGGTGCCCATGACGTCTCGATTGCCTTCCTCAGTGTTGCTACCAAGGACCCGTGTTCATGACACCACTTCAAAGTACCAGTGGTATGCATATATCTGGCCTTCTACAATGATTCTGGGCGCGCAGTACACCTGGATTACCCGCGAACAAAAGTCTTCTTATTAACTGAACAAGCGATGCCATCAAAATACGCATTAGCTCAGAACGATTCACTAACTAGACGTCAATATCTTCACAGTGTGTTTGAAAATCCATGAGAAAAAACTACGAAAATACGAAACCAAGCAGCCAAATGTTTTGCAGGCCAACGTCCCACGAAATATTTCATGCATTTAACCATGCAGCAACAGGTTTAAAGCTTCACACGAAGCTTTAATTAAGTATCCAGAAACGAATCGCAGACTAAAACCGCTCATGCATGTATCACGAACTGAATAGGAAAACGCACACGACACAACACTTCCTTACTTTTACTTGAGGTCTACAAACATACAAAACTGGTCTAAAAAGACACTTAATGTCGGTAAAACTCTTCATTATCACTGGCGTTGCTCACATTTCCTTGAGGCAGAGAAGTTATCGTAAGTTACCGACTCAGATCGCAACAGCGGAAGTAAGACATGATAAATCCCCGATATGCCCATTGAAAATGTTGTGATACATTTTTCGTTCGTGCTGTGCAGGTGATGACGTACAATTTATCGTTGCATAACTGGTCGAAATAGCGGCAGTTGGCTCCAATTTTTGTAGTTTAGTTGGGAACAAGGCTTCGCCCTTCTGGTGTGTTTGTGTAAAGCGCTAGACATATCAACACGCCGCTCGCTTTCTTGCCTTCCTTCACTGTATCTGTCTCTGCGGCAACCATGGATGAAGATCAAGCGTTAACTGATGGTGTGAGCACAAACTCCCCGCTTTCACTTCCTCTCCCTTGGGCAATCAATCGCGTCGTCAAAGTCTTCGCACCCATTGCCTACGTCTCCTACATAACTAGCTCTAAGTTTCGTGTTTAGTTCCATGCAGTTGCTAACTGCTGGACGACAGTAAACTCTGAATGGACAAGGTGCGAGTGAGTTCATCAGCTGACGACTGCAAAGCGAAAATTGAGGTCGTAGTGAGTCGACACGGCAAAAGCAACGCTATCAACTGAGCTCCTTCACCTATTTAGCTTCGCCCTGCAGTCATCTTTAATCTGCTTCAAGACGACAGTGAAAATAAGTATAATCCACAACAAAACCCCGAATGAGGCATTCTGTTTTCTCCTATACACAAAACGCCTCATATACAGAGGCTTTGTCACTGTTACTTCCGCAGCAGACGAATCTAAGATTCTGTCGCTCTAGCAGCAACACATCTTGTGAAACTGCAACATGACACATGGCATTGAAAGCCTCATAATGAGACCAGAGCCACCACAATGATGGCTTCGGGTTGGGCAAGAAAGGCAGCGGCAAAGCAAACACTGCTCTCCTTTCAGCACAGCACAAGATTGCAGTTTACTGTACTGTACCTCCATAGGTTTGGCATAGCACTGCTGTATCAAAGCAGCATCGATGATGCATGGTCCGTGTTTGTATAAGACACTTCAGACGATCTCAAAACCTTCATAGAAGCTCATTCTCGAAATCAACGGCTAGCCGACAAGTCTCCGGACCTCCAACCTCCTTTCCGACTCTCCAACACCATGAAGCTTAGCAGTTTCTCCGCGCTCCTCGTCGCCGGTGCCTCGCTGGCTGCTCATGCTAACGCTGACTTTAAAATCACCCCGGACCGCACTGTGAAGGCCGCCACATCAAAGCACGTGAACTACGTCAAGCAGTGGACTCTGAGCGCCGGAACTAACACGGACTTTATCGACTCGATCGATCTTAGTCTTGCTGGTAACGCGTTTGTGAGCTACGTCGACGGTCTCCCGGCCGACGTCATTGGATACGTGAACGTGTCGGGTGACTCGCGCGCTGTCGTCAATGCGGTGACCGTTAGCAAGGATGTCCTTAATGACATTGAAAATGATATGAACGACTTGCTGGACATCGATAGCGACGGAGGAGAGCTCAACGTCTGGCTTGGCCCCACGGCTACCAGTGGTTATTTGCTCACTGAGATCTTCCTGGCTTCCCCCAATGCCGTGACGAAGCTGAAGAGCCAGCGATCGGCTCAAGTTGTCGTCGAGAACGGTGTGCTAGCGGTGAAGGGCAAACGCACTGAGCTGCAGATTGACGCAACCGGTTCGAGTGCCGTGTACGTCTCAGACCCCAAGACCGACGTGAGCGTGAAAGAGCTCAGCTTGGAGACGACAGGCAAGGCGAGCATTGACTATAACGTGAAGAGCGTGGCCGCTCGTACTGAACTGAAGATGGAGTCGAAAAGCACTTCGAGCATTACAGTGCTTTCATCCACCGTCCAGACCTCCACGCTGGAGCTAAAAGCGGACATTTCGAGTTCCATTTGCATTTCCGCAAAGGAGGTGACGGCAAAGACGCCCACCCTTAAGGGCAAGGACCAGATCTCCATGCCCAACGCTGCCAAAACGTACGGTGCTGCCGGCACTGAAGCTTGTGAGGAGGCGGCGTTGCCTGCCCGCAAGGCTGGTAAAGTCACCGGCGTGGTTGCTGGACTTACCAATATCCTGACTGGCGAGGACAACGACGACCTCGATGACGACAACGAGACGGAGGACTAATTCCCAATAGGAAATTGATAGCATCTTTTCTTTCTTTAAGGTTAAGCATGATGTTAAACCGGTTATACTTCACACCTTGGCAGTGCTATTGTTGCTTCCGGGAGCAAAATTAATAACGTTGCATGTACATGCCGTGTACAAGTGGTATTTGTACATATCTGTTGCTCATTTTTGAGTGCAGATACGTCGTCTTCAACGTGGTACTTCAAGCTACGATATGCGTAGTACAGTACTTGTACTACGTAGTAAATGTAGTCTCGACCTGGCGGGGGTTTAGACTTTTTGAGATTTCTTAAGAGATAAGTATTACGTAGTAATACACTGCATATACCCATCACATTTATGCGGTAGCTAGAAGTCTTGCGATATATCTTTAGTTGGAACTGCTGGATGCCTGCCATGGACTCGTGGACACGATTTCGTGCACCTGTGGCTTTTTAGCTCGTAGTGCGGGCTTCCAAGGCACAGATAATGTAATACTACATGTAGTTGGAGATGCAGGTGCGTAGCTCCCTCCATCTCGTGGTGGTGGCGACCTGTCCAACGAGTGCTTGATTCAAAGTTGTAGAGATAATGAACACGATCGGGTATCTACGATTCCTCGACTAATTGTATTAGTCTAGTACATAGTTACCACGAGAATATCCATTTTCGCCTAATTCCTTGGTGCAGCGAAGCTTTCATGACCGCAGGACAGAGACCGAAGTGTACCTATTCATACAGAAAAAAAATAATCTTCAAGTTCAACAAATTAATTGCGTACAGTTTGTCGCAAACATCTGATAAGGATCACTTGGTGGCGTAATGGTCCATACGTTTTGTCGAGTTTGCCATGCCATGCTGGCAACATTGCGCGTGAACACTACGGTAAGATAGAGAAGCATGGCTGGAATTACAGCACCGTAGTCTCGCCTCGGGAAGCTGAATCTCTAGATTTCCACTCGCTTTCGCTTTGCCACGGCAATCTCAGCTGCACCGACCTGGGAAAGCCGCGGACCTATTTTCCACCACTGGTGGTGGCGGCTGTCGCAGCAATGCATTGTGCACAGCAGAGCAGAGAAGCGTCTCGGGGGTTCCTTCGGCACGAGGATACTGTGCGCGACATATTGGCTCTGCTCCTGTCTGACGGCTGTTTACTCCTCGCGGCCACGGCGTTATCCGTTGTCGGGCGTAGCGATCCTCATTCTTAAACTCGACAGCTAGCCAGCAAGTCCTCCAGCTTGACCAGTATTAACCTCCTCATATACCATGAACCTCCAAGCTCTTCTCCTAGTCGCGGCTTCCATGGCCGCTCACTCCACCGCTGAGTTCACCGTCACCTCTGGCACCACCGAGGCCACCACCTCCAGCACGGAGCACGTGAGCTTCGTTAAGCAGTGGACGCTCAACTCTGCCACCAACGGCGACAACATCGACTCCATCGACCTGGATCTCGCCGGTCGCGTGTACGTGAGCTACGTCAGCGGCCTGCCGAGCGGCGTGCTCGGATACGTGAACGTGTCGGGCGACTCGCAGACGGTGGTGGACGCCGTCACGGTCAGCAACGACGACACTAATGACAACGATGACAATGACAACGATGATACCAACGACACGGACGGAGAGCTGAACGTCCGTATCGGAAACAGCACGTCCACCACGCTCAGTGGCTACCTGCTCACCGAGATCTTCCTGGCTTCGAGCGGCATTGTGACGGACGTCAAGAGCCAGCGATCGGCTCAGGTGGTCGTCGAGGACGGCGTCCTGGTGTCGAGCAGTACCACGGCGGAGCTGCAGGTCGAGGCGAGCGGGTCCAGTGCCGTGTACGTGTCGGCGGCCAGCACGGCCGTGAGCGTGCGTCAGCTGCAGCTAGATGCCGCGGGCACTGCCAGTCTTCAGTTCAACGTCGAGAGCGTGGCGGCCTCCGAGGAGGTGCAGATCGACGCGCAGGGTTCGGCCGGTGTCGCGTTGCTGGCTTCGTCAGTCGAGGCGGCCACCCTTGAGCTAGAAGCGCAGAACACCGGCACTATCTGCATCAGCGCACAGACGGTCACGGCCACCAACTACGAAGGCCGGGACGCCAGCCGTATCTCCATGCCCAACGCCTCCAGCAAGTACACGTCCACGGGCACCGCCACGTGTGATGAGTCAACTGTTCCTGCTCGCGAGCCGGCGTGCGTGTCAAGCGCTTGCGCGGGTTCGTCGAGCTCCGGCACCACGGGCACGGTCGGCACGACAACTACCACGACTGCGCCGGCGACGGCTAACGATGACGACGCCAGTGACGACACGAATGCGTCTTCAGCCCCGCGTCTTGCTGCGTTGGCTGCCGCTGCGATCGGTGTGGCCACGGCGATCCTGCTGTAGACGTTGGGCGATTCCGTATGATCTGGAATCTGAATTTTTCCTTTTATTGAGCCGCAGAAGTGCTAGACTTCTGCACGCTCCAGTTCTAGCAGCAGGAGTTAGATAACCATCGTTGACTCCAATATTACTGCACTTAATCACTTTTGATACTTTCTACTTTGCTTCAGACTTCGGTGCTCGAATTCCTACACGAAAAAATTTCGACCAGCAAAGAAAATCTACTGCAAGGGTTGGTCTCATCGATAGGCAGTGGCTACGGCTAGCTCGATCTATACTTACAGCTAACACAAAGGTGTCGTAGTCTAACTCTAAATCGCTGCCTTGGAATCATTCGTGTCCAGTCGGAGAGGCCAAGTTGAAGAGGAAAGATCAACATCGTGTATCGTGTGGCAGCTATGAAAATGAACCCAAAGTGCACAAGTGTGAACGAGCTTAGTCACGTGCGACTCTGCTTACGATCGAATCAGGTTATTGCTGCTTGGTGGCTGAGACTGCCCGTTGGAGTTCGTGTGCATGCCGAGAATCAACTAGCGAAAAAATTGGCATCGCCTGACAAGTCTCTGTCCGTCTTGGTTTCCTGCAATGGATTTCACTGATCGAATCCCTCCACACAAGCCAAACAGGACCGCACGACTGTCTGTCTCAATAAAAATAAATGTGATACCTGAACGATCTTCATGGGGAATACCCCCTTCGTTGCGACAAGATGTCCCCGACAGCACTGCAAGTCTCCTTCCTCATTATTCAAAATTCCATCTACTGGTAATCAGCCAACTAGTAGACCAACCTCGTTCTTTTAACCGACAATGGTTTCCATCGCACGTCTACCACTCGCATTCCTGCTTTTCGTGTTGGTCGCAACCTTGACCCGTATCGGCGCCGACTCCGACTTCTCTGTGTCGTCCGCCTCGACGGAGAGTGTCGACTCGAGCACGGAGAACGTCAACTTCGTCAAGCAATGGACACTGACCGCCACAAACTCCCACAACGACGGTGATAACGACGATAACGACGACGATGACTCAGACGACAGTTCGGATGATGGGGACAAGATCGACTCGATCAAGTTGCAGCTTCCGGGCCGCGTTTTCATCAGCTACAGCAGCAATCTGCCGGCTGGTGTGCTGGGCTACGTCAACGTTTCGGGAGACTCGCAGAGCGTGGTTGATACGGTGAAAGTGAGCTCCAATGACGACGATGAAGAGCTTGAAGTCAAGTACGACGGTCGCAGCAACAGCTCCACTGGGTACTTGTTGACGGAGATCTTCCTGGCTACGAGTAACATCGTGGACGACGTTGAGATCGAGTCGACCGCGGAGGTTGTGATCGAAGACGGTGTACTGTTCGCCAGTAACACGAACAAGGAAGTTCAGATCAAGGCAAAACACTCGAGCGTCGTGTACGTGTCAAGCTCGCCCATGAGTCTGCAGGATCTCAAGCTGGAGCTTTCAGACAGCGCCACGCTCCAGTTGAGTACAGACAGCATCACACTTCGCGAGGATGGTCAGTTCCAGGCACACGACAGATCGAGCATCAATGTGCTCACTTCGTCTCTTACGGTGGATGATCTGGACTTGGACGCTGAGAATTCGGGCACGATCTGTATTTCAGCTACTGAAGTTAAGGCCAGAAACTATGACGGCCAGGACCGTAGCAGGATCTCTCTGCCCAATGCCTCGTCCAAGTACACATCCACGGGTACTGCATCATGCGACGAAGTGAGCATTCCGTCCCGTGAGCCTGGCTGTGTGTCCAGCAGCGCTTGCTCCTCGACAACCAGCACGTCCACCACTTCGACAAGCACCCCAAGCTCGAGCTCCACATCGACTACAACGAGTGCTCCTAGCTCGAGCACTACGGCTTCCTCGTCCGATGCTATAAGGACGAGCGAACAGACTAGTGATGCGGTCGCTTCGACTAAATTCTACGTTGTTGGAATGGCTCTCACCACTGGGCTGCTCATGGCGATCTCGTTGTAAATATGCGAACTCGAGCTGCTGTAACACACAGCAAATTTGTTTGTTGTAGCATCCAACACGACTGAAACTTGCATTTACTGGTAGCTTCACTTTAAACAATTCAAAAGTTTTCGGATACGTTCCGTTTACCACTTCAACACTTGATCTCGGTGTTCGTCGCTTTTCTAAGTCAGCAACAGTTCAATATGTGCACCACCAAAATATGGTGTTCGACACACCACCCCCTTTTAAGTAGGCGCACGTCATATCCAAACGCTCTTTGTCTGCCGGCAGGACGCTGCCATTTCCGCGTGTGAATCTCTCTCTCCCCCTTCGCTTCTGACCGCCGTACGTGTTTCTAATGTGTGCGCCGCTGTGTGCTCTTTCTAACCATCCAGTTCCACCCCGAATCTACATCATACTGACTGTGCTACACTGATTTTACTATGTCCTATTCGTAGTGCCCCAATGGCTGCGTGGCCTCAGCCGCCACGCTCACCCAAATTCAGTGGTGGGCGCTTCGAGTCGGACACAGCAGGTTTCCAGAGTCTCGGTGCCTTCAGCCATGACTCCTTCCTCGGCGACAGCAGTCTAGAAATGGGCGGGCTCGGCCTGGGTCTAGCGCCGTCGTCTGGTGGCTCCATGGGTCTCAACTTGGACCTGCAGCCGCCGCTTCCCATGGCACCGCCTCCTCCGCCATCTTCCGGTCTTAATGAGGGCGGAGGTGCGTTGTACCATCTACAGCATCAACAGCAGCTCCACCAGCAACAAGAGTTACGTATGGGCTCCGGTGTAAGCTCTCTAGCCTCTCTAGGGGGCGTGGAACTGGGACAACAGAATAGAGACGACTTTCGTCTAGGTCCATCAAGTCTTGGAGGTGCAACAATGGGACAATCCGTCTCGGACAGACGCGGGTTCGATCTCTCGGATGCGATGCTTAATCTGGACTTGGGCGGCGGAATGCTCGGCAATGAACGTGGAGTATTGGGAGGCAATGGGTGGGGCGATCACTCAGCGAGTCTCTCGTCCGCATCGCCGTCTTCAGCGTCACTTAGGGACCAAATGAACGCTCAGATGGCTGCACTGTATCAACACCCGAAGCCTCCGAGCGATCGATTGCTATTTCAGCCTCCCCAACATCAAAGTCAACCTCTGGCACAGTCTGGAAGTGAGTTATTGGGTCTTCTCAATGGGAATAATTCTAACTTAGGGGGTCGTGATCTCTTCCCTCCGAGTGGGAATATTCCAAGTCAGTCACCTGTATTAGGGGGCTTCCCAGGCTTCCCAGCGTCCAGTCCGAGTAATAATTCCGGCCATGGAGGTCTCGCACCTACCATGTCACCTCCCCGAGGCCCACACTCGAGAAGTTCCACGCCGTCACGTACACGTCGCTCTCCAGCCAAATCTCCCCAGTTATATCGTGATAATTCAGCGCCAAGTTCGTTATCTGGAGGTCAGAGCAATTCCATCCACGTGTCGCCTGAAGTTACCAAGCCCAACGATAACATCAAGGTGCAGGTCTCTCTCTTAGCGGAGGAATGCCTCGTTGGACGTGTGCTTCTTGTGGGTCTCTTCCGTCTAGGACAACCTACAAATGACAAGCCGATCTTCGTGAAACAGGTCCTTTTCGAGAACAAACTACACCGAAACTACAGATTCCTGAACACTCGGATCACGTTCCGAGCGCCGCGTTCTCCGGGAGAGTTCGAGTTCCGTGTTTTCGAAGATAAAAGCGGCCATGGCCACCAGAACGGGAAGCGACAAGGCCACTCGAACGACGATCATCACGATACACATCATCACGGCAAAGTTTCGTATTCGAACGTGACGATTGCGCGCAGTAATCGACTGAAGGTTTGTCTGGAGTACAGCCACTTTATCGACACGTTACGAGCTACACACGACAAGTTCCAACAAGGTGTGGCTGATGGAGACGCTGGTTTAGTGTTGAGTGCGTTGCTTGCGTTGATGCGATTGGTGGATCAAGTGGAGACGGTCTTTTTACATGGTCATGCTCTACTGGGGGATCTACTGGAGGCGTGTCTTCGCTTGCTTGAGCGTCGTGCTGAGGACATTGCGCGGTCTTTTACAGCCACCGAGACGATTCCGCATCCAATGGAGACTTTCCATGGCACCCTGCGCAATGTACTGAACGCTATTGAAGCCAACAAGTTCGTTCGGGAGCTGATAGCAGACGATCAACTTGCTGACATTGCGCGGATTCAACGCGAACGCTTCTGTCAAGTCAGCGGCCTCTACTTCGCTAATGATGCTGATCGCTGTGCCTTCTGGCTTGAACATTTCGGGTTTGCACCGATTGAGATCGCTGCTTCAGGCTCAGAAGACGGAGAGGGCGAGATGCTCCACTCTTCAGCGTTCGTGACGCGAGCGTTGACTCAGTGGGTGGAACGAGAAGCTGCCGTGCTCATGCCTGACCGCACGGCGTTCCGAGCGTCGCGCCAGTCGATCTATGATCAACTACATGCTGAGGTTATCTCCAAGCTGTCGTTCACGTGCGAGTTGGATGTTTTCGGGTCTTCAGCCAACGAGTTTGGCAACGAGCACAGCGATATGGACATGTGTTTAGTACTACCGGAAGCTGCGACGCCCACAGTGGAGGAGAAGCAGCGTATGTTGATGGAAGTCGTCGCGCGCTTGGAAGCTCGACCGGATCTCTTCACTTCTGTGGACACGACACGTCTGACTGCGCGTATCCCGATCGTCATGTTCGTGTCGCGTGCCTCTGGCATCGAGTGCGACTTGTGCGTGGAGAACCGGTTGGCTCAACGCAACACGTCGCTGCTTCGCGCGTACGCCAGTGCTGACCCTCGAGTGCGCATGCTAGCGTACGTGATCAAGCGATTCGTCAAGCAGAGGCGTATGAATTGTGCCGCCGAGGGCACGCTCTCGTCTTACGGCTATTTGCTGTTGCTTATCCACTTCCTCCAGCGTCAAGATCCCCCTGTGGTGCCTGTATTGCAGGCGTTGCCTCCGAACTGGCCGGATTTGCCAAGTGAAAAGCTTCCGAGCGTGTTGTGTCGTGGTCCTAGCGACGAGTTGGATCCGTCCGACGGTCACAGCGGCATCGAAACGTACTTCTACGACCCGTTCGCGTTCCAAGAACCCAATGAGAAGCTGGCTATATTGCGTAAATACTGTTCGCGGAATACTCAGACGGTAGGCGAGTTACTGCTGGGCTTCCTTCGCTACTATGGACTACAGTTCGACGCCACGCGAGATGTTGTGAGTGTTCGTCGTCCTGATGCCGGTAGTGTGACTAAAGACGAGAAGCGACACTCGTGTCAATGGCGCTTTACGACGCGATTGAGTATCGAAGATCCGTTCGAAGTGGGCTACGACGTGGCTCACGTGCTCAAAGGCTCTCGTGACAAGTACATTCGACAGCAATTCGTGCGTGCGTATGTCTTGCTAATGGACGGCGCTATCCAACACCAGAACGCAACAGAGGAGAGCTCTGAAGACACGGAGGACGCTGTGGAACGCATCATGTCGATCGTCAATGAGCACGTGCTGGAGGTGCCGTTCTTGCAGACTCCTCATCCTCTGTCACCTGTACCGATGCCCATGCCCCAGCCACACGAAGGCTTTTGACATATTTGACCTACTTGCGAATAGAAAAAAAAAGTCTGAACACTCACGCGTTGCTATTTGATTTCCTAACTGTTGTGGGCTTGGGGTCTAGTTGGATCATGTCACTTCTTGCTGTCCTTGACACAAAGGGTCCACGAGACGACGAGCGCTTCTTCGGTTCGCATGTACTTGACGTGAACAGCATCCGCCACACTCACAGTGTACGTCACTCCTGCTTGGACCACAGCTTCTCGCAGATTCCAGCCCAGCAGCTACATCAGATAAACGTCATCAAGTCAGTACACTTACTCGAGCTAATGGTACTTTTCCACGAGTTTTTCTTACCTCTGTACATGCTTTAGCATCCAGATCCAGCTCGGTTGTTTGTGTGTCCGGCTTTACGTTGTTTTGTCCCACCAGCAATGCGAACGCACTTGGACGCACACCGTCTAGACGCTCTTCGAAGCTCAAAGACCCGGTCTTCTTGACTGGTGTGGAAGCTGCTTTACACGCCGCCTTGCAGTCAATCTGAAGCACACTCTTCCGCATGTGCGACACCAGTTGCCATTTTACTCTCTGAGCTTCTGGAAGTGCATGTCGTGCCTCGCGCTCTTGAAGTGCCAACATCTCTGTCTGCTGCTTTGCCAATTTCTGATTCGTCTCCACCAGCTTTTGGCGCAGAGCTGCTAGCTCGTCCGTGGCTGTTGTTTCTGTTACCAGTTCTCGAACTTGTTCCTGGAACTTGTCCACGACCGCCTGTAGCTGTGCAGTGTACGTCTCTGTGTTTCTCTTTTGCGTCCGTTGTGCGACCATCGCTCTGCCCAGTTCATGTCGAAGAGCTCGACATTCAGCGTAGTACCGGTCCTTCTCTTCAATCGCAACTCTGTAGCCGCTCTGAGATTCATTTGAGACAGAAGACGACGGCGCGAGAGCACTGGGAGGCACAGCAGCACTAGAACCTGGAGCTGTCGCCATTGTGAGAATGGACGCATCTGTGGGAAAATAGGTCGAGTTCATGGGCTCCGATTTCAACAGGTGTTGAGCATGCAGGCTTGACGTGAAACCAGATACTCCGGGGTGATGTGAGCGATGCAGATCATCTAAACCTGCGCTTGTGTTGCCATTGTGCAAGCTGTTTGCTGCTGATCCGTTCTGACCGTTTCCTAGACCTCCGCCTATCCGTGATTCCAGCGCCATCGTCTTACTTGACAACACGTTAGCACTGTTGCTGCTATCCGAGCCTTTAATCACACCACGACCAGGTCGCTTTATTCCACGATAAGCAGCAGAATTCCCAGCATTCTGTCGAACTGTAAAACAACGAGAAAAAGTCCACACGGCAACGTCAGAACTTACTCATCCACACTTATTTCATCCAACGTGAACGTACAAGGATTGCGACGAAGCTTCAGTACGACCGAGTTGCGTGACGTCGACTTGAGACGGCCAATAACAGTCGAGAACTGCAGTCCACGCACGGGCAAACCGGACACAGCAACTAGCGTATCTCCCACGCAGATGCCGCTGCTAGCAGCAGGCGTATCAGGCGCAAGTCCAGTGATCTGGACGTGGTCGTCCACACACGCGAGCGTCAGTCCCAGTCCGCCATTCCGCTTCGTGATCACACACTCGTACAAGTCTCCAGACTGTGGCTCCTTCATCACTTTCTCGCGTGCTGCAGCAGCGGCAGCCGCTGCGGCCGACGCAGTCAACGCGTTGTTATTGTGCAGATGTCTGGTCTGTTGCTGGATCTGCTGATGCACCGACACCGGCACAGCTGGAGCGGCTTTGACGACAGTTTCGGGCTTAATATTTTCCGTTTTCTGCTTCTTGTGCGTCACACTGGCCGCTGTGGCCAACTCCGCTTTCCTCCGCATCGCTGCTGTACCTGTAACTGCGGGCTTCACCACCGGAAGCTCCCGTTTCACTGCTGTTGTTACGGTCGTTGCCACTGCAGTCGAAGTCGCTGTGGTTGTCACTGTAGCGTCTCCAAGCAGTGACAATGGAGCGATGTCTCCAAAGTCCGGTAGGAGCGATGTGGGAGGCGATAAAGCACGCATCATTAGGCCTGGAGGAGGCTGTAGCGGCATGCTCATGGACGTCATGGGCTGCGTTGACGCTGCTTGACTCACAGGCGCTTCTACCGGTGGGATCAGGTCCATAATATTCTGCAATGCAATGATGCAATAGTCAGTATCTTACGTACGGTAATTATTCGAGTATTTGCACCCACATCCGAGAGTTTTTTCTCGTCTGAGACGACTGCGGCGATCTGGTCCAGGAAAAAATCGGCTGCGGACTTGCTGCCGGTTATTGAGGTACTGGACGTTGACTCTGTGCTGCTGGCTGTAGCTACGAGACTCTCATCGAATGGCAACGGCGCGAAAGCCTGTGCACCGCCACTGGAGGGGGACGCAGAGGAGACGGCGCTCTTGCTGTCCACGGGCGTCTTGTGCTGCCCGCCCGTCATCGCTGGCTTCAGTGCCGTCGCTATGGTTGTTGCAGCTTGGACGGGATACACACGGGGAGCGCCTAGAGACACACGCAGGGAGCAATTGACACCGAGACGGACCCAAATGAAAATGCCCGATCCGCGTCTGCCAACGATGTCGACTATGCCGGAGCAGTTCTGTGATTGGTCAAAACTCGATTACAATATTTTACAATTGAGTTAAAAAAAAAAAAAAGGTGTGAGTGCAACATCAACAATTGTCGCGACTGCCACAGCAAATTGGCAAGTGGCATTTTAACGTTTTGCCGTGATGTCTACTGATCCTGCAGCGATCGTGCGATGGCTTGAGCGATCTCGTCCTCTTCGTCTGCGTTGTCGGTCGAAGTTGCAGCGGAATTGGGTGCCACAGGGGTGGACGAAGCAGCAGAAGCAGGGGCTGGAGTCGGGACAGGTGCGGTCGGAGCTGCGGGTGTCGGCGCGCTAGCGAACGGGTTGGCCGTGTTAGAGCCGGCAGCGAACGGGTTGGCAGCTGAGGACGGTGCTGCGGCGCCGAACGGAGACCCTCCGAACCCACCAAGACCGCCCATGCCTCCTGCCATCATCTGCTGCATGCGCGCCATGGCGTTCGGGTCGCTCATCATTTGGCTCATCTGTTGCACCATCGCCGGATTCTGCTGCAGCGCCTGCATGGACTGCGCCAGCAACGCCGGGTTCTGTAGCGCCTGGGCAAGCATGGGATTCTGCTGGGCCATTTGCTGTACCATGGGGTTGTTCGCCATGGACTGCAACATCGCTGGGTTTTGCAACAAAGTCTGCGCCTGTGATGCAAAGTCTCCTCCCAGTCCGCCAAAGCCTCCCATTGACGCTCCAAACGGCGACGCTGCAGCGGGTGCTGCACCTCCCAACGTCGTCACTATGGAGTCCACAACTGCCTTGCACGCCACCAAATTCTCCCATTTCTCAGGTGTCGGCACCAGCACCAAATGTCCCTACAATTATCATCAGTCTTTTTCACTCAATTGATCCGTCCTGTATTGCAACTCACCGCTTGGACGCCATCTTGGAACCCGAGCAGCTTGACGCTATCCTGTCCCCTCGTCCGGTCGAATAATTTGGCTTTGAGCGCAGCGTTGTCCACCCTCAGCTTCCTGTACTTCTCCTCGTTGGGGTGGCCCACAATGTTGGCACAGATCTTCTGGAGCGTACGCACCGCCGTCGCGTACTGTTCGTGCGACTCGTAGTCGCGCATCTGCTGCAGGAACGTCCGCAGTTGAGTGGGAGGCGCCGGTCCCGTTGTTGCTGCTCTATTAGCTGCTGCTACGGCACCTGGACTGATAGTCAAGTGCAGCGCACAACCCGCAGCCACGTGGTAGTCGGCCAGCTTCTTGTCGTCCTGCAGGATCTGCCCCTGGAAAATCAGACGCTGCGCAGCCACGGGGAAACGCTGCGCATTCTGCTGCTCAATCTGCTGCTTAAGCGTCAGCACTGAGGCCGACGCCAGGTCCACGTGCACGTGCAGGTCCTCGGACGTGCCGCTCACCACTTTGATAGTCAACTCGTCCATTTTGTCAAATGACTGTAGAATTGTATCTGAAGAAAAGGTTACACAAATGATACGTAATTGGTACTTCATATGTACATAATATGATCTTGAAGCGACGCAGAGTCTGTAGATGAAGATGAAGGCGAGGAAGACGTCTGTAAGATTTAGTAGCAGCGGAGGCAACGAGAACTTGACTACAGATGCGCTTAAAACCGCACCGACGCCGACAGAGTTGACGGTGGAGCGGATCCCAGCGCTGGTTCGAGAAGGTCCTTGGACGAAGTTGAAGTGGATGGTAGTTGTTGCTGCTGATTGGTCAGAGTGACTTTGCGTTGCAGTGGACACGGTGATGCAGACGCTAGTGACTACGCCGCTTGCTACAGGATCGACCGCAGTGAGTACAAGTTGCAGGTTGCAACAGATGAGTGACAAACTGATGAGGATTGACGCTGTAGGCGGTGGAAGCAAGTGACGAGTTGATACAGCGAGCAAACGAGGTGGACGCGTTCTGTCAGAGTCTGAGGCCAGGACCTCTGCAGGAAATTGTCAATAAGCAAGTCACACGACTTCGAGAGGCTGCGCAACATCTTCGGTCGCCGTCCAGTCGACTGGATGCCGAGTTAGTTGGCATGGGTATCGAAAAGTACGTCGTCTCTTCCTTTCAGTTTGCTAGTTTCAATTTCTAATGACGTTCTTCTGTAGACCTCGAACGAGAACTGTTCCGATTCGTGTCACCCCATTCATGGGCTCGGCGCTGGCGAGAGCTGCCTCTAAGGTTGGAGTGAATGCAAAGAAACACCAAGGCGTTAACAGCGTGCGAAAAGCGGCTAAACCACTGTACCGGTGGGAAAAGCGTCGCTTCTTCCGCGGCAGTACCGTCGCACAGCCCAACGTGGCGGTGTCGAAGGCCAATGCTGGACGGAAGCCTAATGCAGTGGAAGAATGTACGTATCAAGTGTTGTTTGTTTTGCACGATTACTTTCTAGGTAACACGATTGTCTTCAGCAATTCTTGACGACGTCGACGAAGCTGGTATGGAGCTTCATCCATGCTCTGAACCTGGTCACTACTCGCGCTCATCGTCCAATAAGACATCCACCGCTACTGCCACTGCTAGCAGCTTTGAATTCCAGATTATCCTGACTGAAGAAGAGTTCAAGGCTCTGAAGGTACAGCTCTGTTTCGCTAAAACTCGCAAAACACTCTACTTGGTACTCACCACGCCAAATTTGCTAGTTCCAACGACGGCGACTAGAAGCCGAGCAACGCCATTTGTCGCGAAGAAGCAAGTCTTGAATCAAGAATCAAGACTCTAGATTCGGCTCCAACGGTAGGAAAAGGGATCTACAGAGAACCGTTGGCTGCTGAGCTCAGGCATTGAGGTCAGCTAGCCTTCTTCCTAAAAATACAGCCAAGGTGCGACCACATCCATCGCCATCAATAGCCCGCTGTCCATTCCTCAATTTTCTTTAACTTGCGGAATCAATCACCTATCTCTTCGGCAATGACGCACCCAACAATCCCGCTGTACGGCTATGAGCGGTTCTTCGCTATGGACCCAGATTCTAGTGCCAAACTCGCGCATGTTGCGACTCTGCGTGGTGACATCCCCGGTTTCTTACAGCATTTGCCTCAAGCGGTTCTTCAGACTTTCAACCGACATCCGAAGATGCGAGCTTCGATTCTACCGGGTAGTTCTCCTCAGAAAGCCATGATCTGTGCTCCACTCGCTGACGTCTCGGAACTCAAGAGCCTGCTCACGATTCACGAATGCTCTGTTGATGAAGAAGAGCGTGCTGAACAAGAGCGTATTAATGCCGCAATGGACAATTCTACCGTGCCACATCTGCGATGGATGGAGTTCGTCCAGAGCGAGTGTGAGAAGCCTCTGGATCGCGAGAAGAGCTTCCCGTTCTACCTTGTCGTCCGAGTCGACAAATCTACCAGCACCTTCGCACGCCTCATTCTGTTTGCAGACCACTACATGTCGGATGCCACGTCGGGTGCTGTCATTCTCCGTGAGATCCTCCAGACAGTGTCCAAGCTCAGTGGTTCATCGTCAGAAGAACTCCCTAAGGAGCTACCTCTGCGCGAGTCTCTGTACGAAGGCACGCACTACGTGAACGCGTGGATGAACGTCGTGCATGAAGCTGTGTCCAAGTACGTGATGCAGCCGCTGATGAACTTCGACACGAACGCGTTTGTGCCTCTGCTTCCGATCCAGACCGAGTCACAGCTCGACTTTGCGGGCACTCCACCGACTCCGGCCAACCAGAGTTTCGCCTTGTTCGCTCAAGGATCCGAAGCGAGTATGCGCAGTGCCATGGCACGCTGCAAGGAAGAACACGTGAGTCTCCAAGGAGCGATCATCGCCGCGACCACGATGGCGTTTGGACTAACGAAGCACGAAGGCAGTATGCGTGACTGTACCGAGCCGCTGCAACTTCGCATGGATGTCATGGGCGACATGAGACAGCAAGTGGCTTTGAACCCGGTCAAGCGAGGACTATTCGACTCGTTCTTGCCTCAAACAAAGGGACTCAACTGCGAGACGCCTGTAGGTCTGTACTCGACCCCAACTGACCTTGTGTTCACGAGCAGTGAAGGTGTAGACCCACACGGAATGTCCTTCTGGGATGTCGCGCGTAAAGCCGACCATGAATGGGAGTGTGCGCTGCTCGGCCATGAACTGAAGATGCAGTCCATGTTTGTCAATGAGGTGCTCAACGCCGAAAACAGAACCGACTCGGGGCTTTCTGTGGCCAACTGTGCGCTCAACGATGTCACGCTCTCGTACTTGGACTGCTCGGATGCCGCGTCTACACCGTTTCCAAGCGAGTTACCACTCGGCAGCAACAACTTGAGTGTGGAAGACCTGCACGTGTACAATTCGCACCCGTCGCTGAGTTCGACCAGCAAGTTGTTCGTCACTGCTCTCTCTCACTTCGATTATGCGCTCATGTACAAACTGGAGACGGACGTCGCATACAAGCTTTTCGACTGGATGGTGCGATGCACGGAGCGTATTGGGGAGTACCGAGAGCAGGATACATTCGCTCAGGCGGCAGATCGACTCGCAGGTGTAGCTGAAGCTGACGAAACGCTGGAAATCGCGGTTGAGTCTACACCCACCACGGCTGAGGCTGTGGCTGTCACGGACGCTGACTCGAGCGAAGCAGGGAGTTTCCAGCAGAATTCAGAGGGCTAAATAACTTTAGCTCTTGACCATTCTCTCTTCCTTTTTCAGTAGCGAAACCCGGATCAATAAAAAAAAAATAATACATACCTCACTATCTATAGTCGAAGCTTGTTCACACCAAGCTGATGGAATCAAGGGACGTCACGGGAGCACGCACCTTCATCCCAGGCATGTCATACTGTTTGCAAGCGCCGAAAAGCTGTTGCAGCGGTTTATCACCAAGACTTCCTGCTAATTGAGAGTCATCGACGACATCATTCACCAGACAATAAGCTTCGTGGTTGCCACTCCAGCTCACGTAACGCGGCTCAAACGTACCAAGTGGTACAGATAAATACGGGAAGTCTGAGTACCAAGACTCGTACGACGGAACGTAGCCGTTTAAAGTCGAAACATCCGAAGCCGGGATATCGCATTGCTTGGCACGACCGCCAAGAAACCCAGTGGCGAGGTTCCCTACGATATACCGAATGTAACTGCGGTACAGTGACTTGAGAAGTACAAAAGCCACGACAACACACGTGACGATGAGAATGATCCAGTACAGAACATCCATTAGATGCTGCTGCTCCTTGGTCGGGTACTGGTCTCGTAGAAACGGGAGGACGATGTGCAGGGTCTTGACAAGTGAATCGTATCTCGACTCTGTTTCTTCCCGTGCCGAAGTCACAGCACGTTGTGTGGCATGATCAAACGGCCAGCCATTGTACCATCGCCCCATCATGATGAGGGATACCAATGCCACAAGCAGCAAGTGATATCGTGAAGCTCGAGCTAGCAGGCCGTCGTATCTCGGTGGGGTTTTCCACTTACGCAACAGACAGTATTTGTCCACCCAGTAATTCACTAGCAGTGACAAGCTCGTAATGATCAGGCCAGTCGGAAGTAATGACTTGAAAAAGAGCGCAATGCCCACAGATTTGGTGATTTGAGTGTATCGCTCTGCCAGTTTCCAATACGCACCCGAGTAATACGAATTGAGCTTGCGTTGAGTCTTCGCCTTTGGTCCGTAGTACCATCGATTGAACTTCTCGAACGGACTAATGAGCTGAATCACAGGCGCAGTGATCAGATTCGCGATGAGCAACGCCTGAATCTGTAGCAGATTTTCTTGCGATAAAATATCCGTGAAGTCCATCAACAGATACAGCACGACGGCGCCGTTAAATCCACGAAAGAGTAGTAGTTTGTTAAGCGTAGACAACTGCTCACGTTCTTTTGTCTGGTGTTGCTCCAGTCGGTCCACGTAGCTGAGTATCCGACAGCCAAAAAGGTCAGTTACTGCCAGCGTGCATGCTAGGATGAATAATCTTCCACGACGCTTGCTATCGGGCTCTGTTTCGCCTCCGATGTAGTCGTTTTTCAGCCACAGCGCGAGGAAATACACACCAGTCATCATTCCACCGACGATACTCATCGTAAGTGCCTGTTGCAGTACCCTCCTTCGCCATAACACTCCTGCACTCTTCCACTGCACCGAAGACGGCTCAGTCGCCTGCTCAACGTGTAAAATATTGGTGCCTCCAAAGCGAAGTCTATCTGATAAGCCCGTGCTGGTCCAATCCAGTAATGTAGAGCACAACCCAATGCGCGTTTCACGTAGACATCGTCGCTGTGATTCTTCCGTCTCAAACATGACAAAAACCGACCAAACGCGGTAGCTGTCATGCTTCAGCATTTCAGCAATACGGCGACGTAGCACATCTAGCTCTGCGTTCCAGTACGTCAAGTCATAGCCACCCAACCCAAATTTCTGCCTAAATTGACGAAAAAGTGATTGTTTTGGCGCAGCCTTCGTCGGGTCTGCAGCGTTCTCCAATGCTAAGCGCACAATCTCTTGGTCTGCGCTCTCCATCTTGAGCATATCTTCCATGTATCTCTTCTTGGCCAAAGCTGACAGCAACCGGTCATTATCCACGCACACCGTGACGAACTTGACTCTCCCGAATTGGGCAAAGAATCGCTCCCACTCGTCCGGGTCCCACGCGTTGGCATTTGGGTCTTTCACCACGACGGAATAGTCGGACGCGGTCTGCTCCAAGGCATCCAAATGCGCTTTATCCCTCGTCTGCATCACTGCGACCACCAGACAATACACCGCCAAGATACCCAGTCCAATCATGTCGACGTGGAGTTGGGTCATGATCAACGGACAGTCGTTGATAGTCACAGTGCGAATTTCATTGCTGCTCGCACTCGTGTCGATTGCACTCACCTCTCGGGTGCAGGCGGCAGTCCCAAGTATCCGGAAGTCGAGACTCCTGGAGCGCAGAGTTCCGGAATAGCTCGACGAGAGGAAGTAGATGATACTGGGCGTGGACACACACGCTAATACGAAGAGCAACAGACTTAGCTGAAGCAGCATGCGGAAGTATAGTCCCAAACCAATACCGAAGACTGAGAGATCGCTGAGCGACGTGCCGAATACGGGAAACAGCTCGCTGCCTGGAGCATCCTCACCCATGTCCACGAGCCGGAAAGCACCGGCTTCCTTATCGCGGACACGGTGCGGCAGGATCACATCACGGAACCACTCGCGGGCCACAGCCACACTCGGCCCGTCGTCCGGCGCCGTCACGCTCAGGCGCGCGGCCGCACGCGAGCCTCGAGGCTGGTCCATTATTGCCAGATGGTTATCAACAATGAATCCGTTGTGTAACGTCACACAAAATATGAAAATCCATTTTTTTTTATGATAGGCACAGAGTTGATGGACGGAATCGACACGTAATATATCATCGCCCAACAGTATAGAGTCCTACGTCTTTGCCTAGCGTCAATGATACAGGAGTCCTGGTGTCATTGATGCCAGGTAGAGACGCTCTTAGCTTGGTCGGAAACGACGGAGTGCAATGCATGCGTGCTTTGGTGCAGGCTTTGGGATGTCCAGCAAATCACGGATGAAGAACTCATTTTGTCCGAGGTAAGGTTCCGGCAAGTGTATGGGAATTAATACAGATCACAGCGAACTTATTTTGAAGGGAATGATCAAGATGTCCTCTTGAAGAGGGACCATCTTGCAATAAATGCACTGCGGCTACTCTTTTTGGCCGCCAACCATGAGCAGCGCATGCAGCTTCTGCTCTGTTCAGCACCAACAAGTTGCACTGCAACGGTTGTGAATCATGCACCAAATAAATCAGATGCACTCCATACAAAAACCAAGTCAAACTAACGGTTGACAGTTTCAGCCAATCATCATATCCGGGTTAGGTGATCATGAGCCAATCGTACCACGTCGTCAGGCATGGGTACACATCACTGTTGCCCAGGATCTCCCCACTCTTTAATTTGCCCCACGTCGAGCAATTGATCATCAAGATGCTAGGAGCCAAGACCGCCGCCTTTGCCGTCGCCGCAACGCTGGCTCTGGCCAAGACGCAGGCCGAGATTGCCGCTCATCTGCGTGTGCGCGTCCACTCCAAGACCACGTGCCCCAGTGGCCAGGAAAGTATCGGAGTCGTGGGTTGGTCCCAGGACGGCTGTGTCACCTCGGGCAATGTGTGTGTTGCCAACATCAACGGTGCCTGCCCGTCGGGAGCCCACTGCGAGATGCTGGACACGGGCGTGTACGGATGCGCGGACGGTGCTGCTTCCAATGAGACCTCGAGCTCGACTGGCTGTAATGGCAATGAGCAGACTATCGGCGTTGTTGGCTGGGACCACGACGGCTGCATTGACTCGGACAACGTCTGCGTCGCTCAGGTGAGCAATGGTGACTGTCCGTCGGGAGCTTCTTGCCAGAAGCTAGACACTGGTGTGTACGGCTGTGTGGCCTCATCCAAGCGCCACCACCACCACCACAAGCACCACAAGTCGAGCGTGACGTGCCCGAGCGGCCAGGAGAGCATTGCTGTTGCCGGTTGGTCTCAGGACGGCTGTGTCGCCTCGGGCAATGTGTGTGTTGCCAACGTCAACGGTGACTGCCCGTCGGGAGCCCACTGCGAGATGCTGGACACGGGCGTCTACGGATGTGCGGACGGTGCTGCTTCCAATGAGACCTCGAGCTCGACTGGCTGTAATGGCAATGAGCAGACTATCGGCGTTGTTGGCTGGGATCACGACGGCTGCATTGACTCGGACAACGTCTGCGTCGCTCAGGTGAGCAATGGTGACTGTCCGTCGGGAGCTTCTTGCCAGAAGCTAGACACTGGTGTGTACGGTTGCGTCGCCAGCTCCAAGCGCCACCACCACCACAAGCACCACAAGGCGACCGTGACCTGTCCGAGCGGCCAGGAGAGCATTGCTGTTGCTGGTTGGTCGCAGGATGGCTGTGTCGCTTCGGGTAACGTGTGTGTTGCTAACACCGACGGTGCCTGCCCCACGGGAGCTCACTGTGAGTGGCTAGACACTGGCGTCTTCGGCTGCAAGGATGGCCCTGAGGAAGCTGCTTCGACTGGGTGCAACGGCAACGAACAGACTATTGGTGTTGTTGGCTGGGACCATGATGGCTGCATTGACTCGGACAACGTGTGTGTTGCTCAAGTGAGCAACGGTGCCTGCCCTCAGGGCGCGTATTGCTCTCTCCTGGACACTGGCGTTTACGGATGCGTTGCCAGCTCGAAACACTAAGTGCAGTGATCTGGTTAGACTTTAAAGTACTCATAATGGTGCTCGCGAGTCGTTTTGTAAGATCGATTCATATTCTTTACCAGACGCGTATACATCTTTTGCAAATTGCGTTTCTTAGGAATTTTTTTTTTACTGAGCAGGTTGAAAGGAGGAGTGGGTTCTACTGTTAGCCCTAGATTGCGATATCAAGACCTGCTTCTTCGGGGTTTCTCGACTTCTACAGTCGTCGCCGTTGGACAAAGTTGTACCTTCAGAGCCTTAAACTCTACTTCCTCTTCCTAAGGCTCTGATGGTAGACATTTGCTAGAATAACCTGGAACTTGAAGGTGCTACGGTAGGAGTGGGGGGTGCCTTATTGGACGATGAGCTCCTGTAGAGACAAAGTTGGATGCGGATTAACCCTTTCGCGAGCCTCTTGTCTAAACTATGGTAAACATGACTAGGTCATTTGCTTCTAAAGGACGTATTTTCCGGTTTTTTTCATTATCAAGGTACTCATTCTGGTCTATCTTTTGTACTTTTCATTATCAAGGTACTCATTCTGGTCTATCTTTTGTACTTTTTTTTAGTAACAAATATTGTGAAATACTGCGGTGATGCAATCAGTTACTTGTACTAGAATAACACTCGAATAAAGTTTGCCAAGGTGATTAGCCTCGAGGCTCTATCGAGTCTCTTCACGCACGAGGTCTTTCAGCCTTGCCAACATGAAGAAGTGGTACGGGTATTAGACAAAGGATGGGATAAGAAGGACGAAAATCTAGTAGCCTTATGGAAGCATGGTGATCAATGTCCGAGGCAGTAATCGGATTAGTACCGAGACTCAATCGCAATTTGTTCGTAGCGCGGACTTACTGCGAGCTCACAAATTCGGTGTTCAACGTTAGGTATTTTGGACTCCTTGATCCAAAATTTTGGTTATCGTTTGCAGCTTAACCAACATTGTATGTATTGATTGACGTGCTCAAGCAAACTTTATCCCCGTTATCTTTACAGTACTGAAAAATATTCATCCTGTTCACCTCCACCTTCATAGTGATCCAAATATTCCAGCCCTCACTACACTGATTGGTCGATTTTCTCACTGATGCTCAAGCGACGTTCGGAGAATCTCTAGGAGCTTATTTAGTCCGTGTCCTCGAACAGTTTCGATTTGAAATGGAAGGAGAAAGTTAATTTCACAGTCAACTAACATTTACAGTCCACTGTCAACTGAAAAATTGCCACAATAGCTCCATATATAACCTCATCACTGCCATCATTTTAAGTTATGGTCTCGAGTAGACCAGGAAAAATGTAAACTAAAGATATTGCGCAAGCGCTGTAGTGAATAACTCCTTCTATTAACAAAGCCTTCATACCCTGAAATTTGGTTTCAATCATTATTTACTGTACTACAGCGCATTGTTGTTGAAGGTAGCAAAAATATATGCAACATGAGGACCGAACCAAGCTGACTGAGTAGAGTGTCATGTGCGACTAAATCGATGTTCTATTTGTTAGTTAGTCTTTGAAAACATCAGTATCTAAGCTTTCGAAACGGCTGCAAGTGCAGCATAAACGTCGTTATCGGCGAAAAGCTTTTCCACTGTCGTCAACATAGCCTTCCCACCCTGGCGTTCAGCGACGTACACGGTGTACGCTTCCAGATTGCGGTACATCGGATCGCTCTTCGGCAGCCTCGTGAAATCAATTGAGTATGGAATCCCCAATAAACTCGCGAGCTCCTTTGGAGACAACTTGTTGTCGTTCATCCATTTTTGGTAGAGATGCGTTTGCAAGTTCTTTGCGAAACTCTCCAAATCTGGGATATTCTTTATCGATTGAAAGAGTGTTCCAAATTCCGCCTCGATTACGAAAGGTTTTGCCTTTATCAAAAATTTGAGCGTTTCAAGGTCTGAAAAAGACTCACTTTCCACGACAACCTTGTACACTTTGATATATCTGAGCCACTGGATAAACAGGGGGCTGCTGGCGAAACTCTCCAGAGTCTCATCTCCAAGACGCATGGACTCAAAAACGTGCAGTGGACTTTCTCGAGACTTCAGCCACGCCTCATTCACCAATTTATGACTCGAGGCAGAACTTAGGATCATATATGCCTGCATCTCGTCTGCAAGGTTCTTGATGGCGGGGTATTTCCGAAGCGATTGAAATAGTATCACCAACTCTTCTTCCGATCTCACTTTCCTGAGCAAGTCAAATAACTTGTTATCGCTAAACCAAGATTCTCCTCCTCGTTTGGCTCTGTAGTTGTTCACATACAAAAGCCACAGCATAAAATCCTTGTTTTTGTTTAGCTTCCCGCCATTTTTTACCACGCGTAAACGAGGGAAAATTTTCATCGGGTCGAGCTTCAACTTTAAAGCCAACTTGTAAGCTAATTCATCAAGCTTTGTCACTCCTGGAATGCCAGCTCTCTCCTCGCTGTTGTAGTGCCCAGCGACGATGTTGTCCTGCTTGTGCGCATCGGACCTTAAGAACCTTTTTGCGACACTCTTGACGCCGATGAGAGGACCGACGCTGACATGATCCAGGCGTTTGGGTTGCTTTGTGTTCAAATTGGTCGAACAACAAAGACTGATGCCGAAAGCAAAGATGACTAGCAACGGATAGAAGAGCATGCGAGCGCGGTTTATTGGTAGTACTGGAGACCCCCGAGCAAATTGAAAACTGTCTCCCACAGGAAATGGCAAAAAGGGAGGGTCGTGGGCCGCAACATGTAGCCTTACACCGACTGCTCGTATGGGTTTGCGTATTCGGGCTTAATCGTAATCAGAGATGAACAAAGCCGTGCTTCGCCCAAAACAGTTTGTAACTTCAAAATGGTTTAAATAATACTATCTCACCCCTTGTAGGTAGCTGAAGGGAAAACGAGATTGAATCCGTGTAGTTCGCGGGGCTACACAGGTCACATCAAGAGCCATAAACTAATTCTCATTTTTTAATTTTAGAAGAATTTGCCGTTTTCCATTGCCAAACTTCTGGCAAGGCTATTTGGCTATTCCAGAACTTGACATATCTCTCTATGTAAATATATAAAGAAATAGAAACACGGGATATGTACGCCAATAGGTACTCGTGTTGTATTGGTCATGAAATCACTACTATGGTACCCAAATCGTCAGCCATATGTCAATTAAAAACATTTTTTTTTCATTTTATTTAATATATTCATAATTCCAGCACACAAACAAAACTTCATCGACTGCGAATTGAGCAAGCGCTTTATAATTCGACAAATTTCGCGGAACCGTCGTAATTTACTTCAGCAATATTTTTTTCATCGCAGTTCATTAGCTGCCTTTAGCCCAAATTTTACATTTTCTCGACGCTTTACACTAGTCAGTGCAACCAACAGTTCTATCAGGAAGTCCACGTGAGCGGTATCATCCGACTGGTTCGATCTCGGCGTGCTTAGTGCATGGCATTGATCAACGTTACCGCCACAGTCGGCGAGACCGGGAGTATGATAGCAGCATCATTGGATGCTATTCTAAACTGTAGGGAGGAAAGTGAGAAAGTTATGGAGTACCTTGATATTATTCTTGTTGCAGCCGCAAACGAAGCATTTTCTGGCTTCTGTGGAGCCTCCGCTGTGGAGTTTCAAGCAACCATGTCAATCGAGAAACTTAATGTAGTTGTCAGATCGACACTGGATCTTGTGGCTGATCACGATACATTACGATTGCGGGGTAGATGTGTGTAGAGAGTCTTGAATGACTTGACGGAGGCAGCTGAGGGAGAGCGGTAGAATAGCACAGACAGAATAAGCAAATCCACAGAACCTACGGTTGAATTCCACAGAAATATCGGTATACCGGATAAGGGCCACTACTTAAAGCCCGATCTCTCATTTGTGAGCTATTATCTAAGAGGACGTACTGTCTACACCATAATTTGCACTAAAAACACCCAAACTGTCCCACCAGCACCGTTAAAGTATGACTCGCACTGTACTTTGTGCATTGACACTCGGGAAACAAATCATTACTCACAATCTCGCTTCGCTCGAACTATTGCGCGGCGTTTGCAGGGCGTACTCCGCTGCGCTCGTCGCCTGCAAGGATCCCGTGCGGATAGATTGTATGTTCTTCTCTCGGAATCTATTCCGGCCTACGCGCCGTCCCCTGACAGACCTCCGCTATGCTCCGGTTGTCAAGGCGCCTCTCTAAGGCCTCAATACGCCGCCCAGTCTCTCTCACCGGTGCTGGTGAACGATCTGCAGTGTTTTGCGCTTAAACTATCGGTGTTTTTGTAATTTACTCATTATCTAATAGACCAATCCTGTAGGCACAACTGCACTTAGGAGGGAAAAAAAGATAGTGCTTGGACGCCACCCAAATCAATAGTTCCCTCAGTTGTTAAAAAGGACGGTGGAACTCTCCTGTGGTCATTTTACAAGGGACTACAACAAAAAAAAAAACTCGAGTGCGCAAGATCAATCACAGAACAGCACTTAAAAGTTACTGATATTGTAGAGTTACTGTAGCAAATCGCTCTTATTAATCAACGTGGTTTTGGGATACGCATATTGCAATATAAGAATAACAATGCCAAAAGGTATTTTTCTTTTCTTTTTTTGCTTCAGGCGTAGTTTAACTAAAGTTGACCAGTCGGGATATAAAATGGCTTAACCGTAGCACCCGTCCATCCTAATTCAGCTTGGTTTGCTCATGGAGGCGATCGTAGCGGATTGGTGATCCAGAATGTTGCAATTAAGGGAACATTTGTCGGCATTGTATCGCCATTATTTTCGAGTCTTGCACTTTATAAACTCAATAAAAGTGTATTAAAATTATAGTATTCTAGACTTTGTCTACATGTGAATTATCTAGAGTTTGATTAATAAGCTAATCAATATATTGTAAACAAGTTTAAAAGACGTATCAGCGAAAGTGATCCACCGATCTGACAACTACATTAAGTTTCTCGGTTGACATGGTTGCTTGAAACTCCACAGCGGAGGCTCCACAGAAGCCAGAAAATGCTTCGTTTGCGGCTGCAACAAGAATAATATCAAGGTACTCGATAACTTTCTCACTTTCCTCCCCACAGTTTAGAATAGCATCCAATGATGCTGCTACCAAACTCCCGGTCACGCCGACTGTGGCGGTAACGTTGATCATTGCCACGCACTAAGCACAACGAGATTGAACCTGTATGATGAAACCGCTCGCGTGGACTTCATTTGTTTATCGTTACCCTTAAATATAGGACTTAATTTTAGGGTTCCAATATCATCGACAAGCACACCGTGGGAAAGACGACGGGGAGCCAGTAGCTTGTAGGTAGCTAAGCTACCTACAAGCAACGTTTCAGCGATTTTGATCATTACCATATTTGCCGCGTCAACATTGCGACCAGAGTTAAAGGGAGGACGCTGGGACGCAGCCACATGGGACACGTGGAGGTGAAAACTACTGTAGAGCGGTAACACTCTTGCTCAGTTGAGCTACTCACTTCGCAAGTTACTCTCGAGTGCGCAAACATCATACCAATTCCAAGAATCCTCTCCATCAATTAACATGAGATCCTGCTGGATACTAGTCGCAATATTCTCCCGGCATCAAACAGAAATCGCCCGCCAAGGCATCTTCTTGGAACATGGTGACCTCTAGTAATGTCAGTCGGTTATTAAAAGCCCGGGATGTTGAGAGCAGCAAGGATTTAAAGAAAGAGAGTTCGGCCGATGAATCGCGAGCAATGCCTAAGCTTGACAGGGTGGTTTCGGACCTAGCTGACGATGCGGTCAGAGCTGTTAAGCTATCGAGAACAATTTCGCTATCTTCTCTCACAGAAGTTGAGGTGTTACAGAATCTTCACAAGTCGATCAAGGCAAAACTTACACCGATGCTTAAGCATGTTGCGACCGTCGAGAAACTGACCCCACCTGAAGCTGCCACCAAGTGGGGCATTTGGACGCTATTGAAGACGAAGTCTATGGAGCAGCTGGCCAACCACCCGGACTATCTGTTATGGAAGACATACACTAAGTACTGGAACAAGTATCACTACTCGTCAATTTAGTCACGCTCTCCGCTACAGAAAAAAAGATCCACGACAACAGCTAGGGAGTGTTGAACTCTAATACTTCAGCTTTGTGAAAAGAACTTGCTCTCGACTCTACAATGAATACAGAGTCTATGATAAAAGCTCAACGTATCAGAAAGAAATCATTTTAACCTTTTATTTTCAATTGTTACGATAGGTTTCGGTTAAGTTGACAATTCCCTCTGTAGTCATAGCGCTGCCAGCTCGATATGCATTCGTGTGTAAGGGTATTCCTATCCATGAATGCACCACAACAATGGATACGAGTACCTTTAGCTTGGAACAGTGCACAGAATTTACTATTGATGTAGCTCGTTACTGACGTTTCACCCAGAGGTTGGAAAAGTCACAGTGCCTACGGAAATTAGTCTGTGTGAATAGTCACAGTTCGTAATTAGTCACACCGTTCGAAGGTGAGACTAATTACCGTGAGCAAGAAAGTGTCGTGTTCAAAATTAGTCTGTTCATAATTAGTATCACCTAATTTCGGGCATTCGAATTGACGCAGTGGAAAAGACTGGCCCGGTTTACAATCCTGGCGTGAGTTCGAGTCCCTCCGCAGCGGACGGTGCTCGCGATTTACTGGTGATGCAATATCAGGTCATTTAATAAAAGTGGGTTTCCCACTTACCCTCAACGCGGCACATTACGAAGCAGCGAGTTATATATATTTTAAAGATGTGAATTATACTTTTTAATAACAATAATAGCTATGCAGTTTTCTTAAGCTTATTTGAAGAGCATTTAATATCTTATAATTCGAAATGTTAATTTTTTGGGGCTGCGTCTCTTGGAGGCTACGGTGGGCTATTCTCATTCCAGAAATTCTTCCAACAGACCAACGCACCTTCTCCCTCTTAAACCGGTCTTTTGATGAGCTCCAACTCAGCAGATTGGGCAGACGTCAATAGCACCAACGAGGTCACCACACCCACAACACGGGGCAAGTTGCGCTCTGTTCATATGCACCCATTTTGTGGGAAGCCTGTCGGACAAGAGGGCTTTGGACAGCATGTTGTCTGTCCAGACTGTGATTCAGGCAAGCCTCAAGCTATATCAGCTCCTCCTATCCTCAAAGCTTTCGCGCTTTAGGGAAATAAAGATGCGATCTCTTCGAAGGATTCTGCCAACGATGTCGACTCAGACGAGAGCTCGGAAGTCGACATAATCTCTATTTCCAATGTGGTCAACGTGACTGAGCTGCCGACGTCAACATCATCTCGAGCGTCAGAACAGGTTACCACCATCCAGAATCGACGTCGTGTCATCTCCTGGATGGAAGAATATGAAAAGCAAGTGGAGCGAAGAACATGTTCGCGCGAGCTGTAGATCAATTTCCTGATATTTTTAACTCGTCTACTCGCAATGCTAACCTTTGCAAAGCGATGTCCTGGTGGAAGAATCGAGAGCAACTTCAAGCGCCACTCCGGGGTTCGGTATCGGTGTCGAGTTTACGATCAGACGGAAGAAAACGAGTGAACTCCAAGGCTTTATCTGGTCGAGGTCGTCCTCGGAGCAAATGGGTGCTC